AACATGGATATATATATTTTTTCCTATTATGTCGAAAATTTCTGCTGTACAGGGAAGGTTGGATCCATATACCATTGTTAACTCTAAATAGCCGGCCAAATTCAGCGCCTAGCTTTAGAAATTATAATAGGTCTCCAGTTTAGTCCAAAGACGTTTTTGTATCTACATCTGTTGTGTCTGGTGAATTGCAATTTCTTCTTTCTTTAGCACAGTAGGTTCTAGAACTTCTTCACTTTTATTTTATTATACTATATATATATATATATATAGAATATATATATTGTTTTTATATATATATATATATATATATATATTTCCGCAGAGATCTTTTGTTATAAATCGTTTTTTGCATGTATATATATATGTATATATATATACATACATATATATATATGTATGTGTGTATATAAATATATGTATATATATATATATATACATACATATATATATATGTATGTGTGTATATAAATATATGTATATATATGTATATATATATATATATATGTATATATATATGTATATATATGTATATATATATGCATATATATATATATATATATATATATATATATATGTATATATATTTAAGAACTATAAATTAGATTTTAACAAAAGATTTGTTGGCAACTTGTAAGCAATTTAATTTTGAAAGGACAAACCTTTAAATCATTAAAAAAATGCTGTAACAAAACCCAATTTTGAATAATAACTGAGTAAACATTTATCTACCAATTACATTTAGTTTTTTTTTGTTGTTAGATATAATGAGAATTTCACAATTCTCATTATATCTAAGCAAGATTTATTGAACTATTTAAGGTGCAAAATAGTATGTTGATGTTTAATTAAATTACTAATAGAATTTAACACACTTTTAAATCATATTTTTACCATTTTGAGAATCTCCACTTGTTTAACTCATTTGTTTCTTCACATTTATTTAAAAAACATTTCTATGTTCTTCTCTCTGATTTATGGAGGCTTAAAAAATGCTTCTCTTATGGTTAGAGCTTATGAAACATTGGGCTGAAATATCGTTCGACTAAACATTTTGCACAAAATGTTGAATGCATTTTCCTAAGAATACAAAAACTGAATTAAATTATAATTTCTATGAAAACTATGAATAACTTAACACACAAAAAAATGTAGTGCATCTTTTTTTATGTTAATTTGCATATTTGTGTTGCTCTTTTTATGAAATTCATAAATAAAATATATTGTATGCAAATCCTAATATTTCAAGGAATTTGTTAATGTAAATGATACAATCGAACTTCGACAAGTTTAAAAATCAATTAACTATTCTATAAATCATTATTGTCAATCTGATTTTTACGTGGTGCTTAGAAACAAGACAAAGTATAAATATTTTCCGCCGGAGGACTAAAGCTGTGGCATCTCTAACCAACCCATGAAACATGAATCAAATAGAGCTAAAATCGTTTTAAATAAGCTATCGATAGCGTTCGCTAAATTATTCTGCAAAATGATCGAGTTCCGTTTGAGTAAACGTTGTCTAGAATTTTGTTATTTAGTGCATTATTTCATTATTATATAATATTAATATATAAACTCAGCTCTCTCTCTCTTTTCGAGCCATTATAGTTGATACTTCTGCGTTTGAATTCAAAAATCACACTAATGTTTAATATTTCTTTAAATAATTTTTTCATGCCATTTAAAGTTGCATTGAAAATGAACGTAAATTTCATATAACAACAAACACACTTCATCATTGGCATTGTTATTTTCACAAAACGAAATTTCACACCTATTTCTTCCCTTCTTTTTACACATATTTTTTAAAATTCCATTTTTTTTCAGTCAGCATGCCTATATTTTTCTATATGGCAGTGCCAAGTCTAAAAAATGCATTCGTCTAAGCGTTTTTATATACTTCTCTCCACCATTATCTTTATTTTTTAACTCAAGAAGTATTTTTTTAATAAAAGAATCATTCATTTTATTCTTTCGGAATGGAAAATGATTTATTATCACCATTTGAAATCTTGCAGCATTAATACCAAAATGTAGGTTTTACGGAACACGTGATTCCATTTAAGAGTTTTTCTTTTGCTTCTGAATCGGTCCTGTTTTCGAAAAAAATGAGTTTCAAATTCCTTTTTCCCAGTTTCTTTGCTTAAAAGTATTTTTCTCCTTGATTCTAGTATCGGATTTTGAGTAACAACAATACATAAAGCAAGAATTTTTCTCTACTTAGAAGTTCAATATATGATACATTATTCTTTATATCTTAACTTTTTTCTTATAGAAGTTCTCTTGCATTATTATCCGTAAAATAAAAGTGCATGCTTTAAGTTCAAAAGTAGAAGTTTTGTTTAATTCCAAACCCAATTTTCAGGATTATAAAAAAAACAAAATATTAATTTATATTTTTGTTTATTCTTTTAAGGTATAATACAGCATTGGATACGCTTTTTTCACTTAGGATTCTATCGAATTGAGTCTTCTAATCTGGCCTTCATTCTTCTTATGTATTAATTTCTGACTCTGTGTATGGATCTTCAAGCATTTTTTATGAATAAAGGATCATTAGTACACCCAAGTGCAAAATGAACAATAACATTTTTATTGAGTCTAAAGAAGTTTCCAATTATGGCAACGGCCGAAAAAGAGATTGGAGAAAAATTTTAGGACATTTAATAAAATAACATATAGTTAAATTACTATTCACAAGTCAATACGATTGTGGTAAGTAGAGTTAATCATATACACGACCTCTTATATAACTGAAAACTTGCGGCAGCTTTTTATGAGGAAAATATGAGGAAAATATTCTCCAAATATGCAACCACGGATGTGAATTTAAATACCAACACAAACTGAGAAGAAAATTAGGAGATTTCCGTTAAATTAAACAAAACATAAAACCAATCATGTATTTGATTTTCCCAGTATTTCTTAAATGTTTAATTTTCCAAAAGATGTCAAAAGATTAAAATAAAAAAAGTGTGTGTGCACTTATGTACGGCGCAACAAGATTAAAATACTTCTAAAATTCTTGAGCAGAGCAATCTGGGCCAAGGACAAAAGACGGCCACGAGCAGAGTTGAACGATACTTACCTTCAGTCAATCGGATCAGCCAAACCTGAGATAATCACGATTTAAATAAATTAAAACACCCCCGCACAGGGACAATAATTGAATGTCTCGGCTTGGAAAAATCGTTCCTGAGAAAAGTAAGACATTTGCCTGAAGAGTCCCTGAGTTATTGTCATTTTAAAATAACTAAAACAATTAAATAAAATAGAAGCATGGCACCCAGCTACTCGAAACTGAGCCTAGTTGTGAGGAAATGCAAAAGAAATCCATTCGATTCGGTCAAGAGTCTGTAGTTGCAAATGGGGCGATGTAGCTCGGGAAAAGGAAACGAAACTAACTACCTCCGGGGGTTACAACTGTGACGTAAATGGTCACGTACATCCCAGCGATATACAGAGTAATAAGTGATCCCAAAGTTTCATCATTCTATATCTTTAATATCGTTACGTCATCAAAAGATCGAACCCCATAGGAATAACATGTGCATTCTAATTTTAGTGATAACACTACCCCTAAGACCACTGTCTACACACAAATTATAACAGATGAAACAGCTCAATGAGGAGAGCCTATGGTCCCAGTTTCATTAACGAATCTTAAAAATCCTCAGCGCTATGCAAGATTTAAAAACAGTCATAGCTTTAAAATAATTTTAAAATGTTAAATGTAGGTGAAGAAATGGGTCTATGGTCCCGAAAAAATATATCTAGGGTTCTCATAGGAAGGACAATCGGATCCAGCCGTTGCGGTCGACCAAGGTGGTATAGGATTCAAGTTATTTCTGGGGAAGCCCTGTAGGGGGGAGCAATTCCACGTAAAGCTTGCGCTAATACGAAAATAAGACGGACCACCAAAAATCAAGTTCCAAGCTCAATTGCTTAGGGGGTGAAATTTTTTCCAGTCCTCATAGGATTAACATGGGAGCATGATAATTTAGTGCTTAAGCCCTCCCTCTTACACAAACGGAATGAAGTAGATGACTGGATGGGTCTCGACGAGTGGAACAGTTGTTTCAAATCTCAAGTCCGATACTCGAACAGGAGCCAAGATATTGTGAATTTAAACAAATTAAAAAAAGTTTAAGACAATTAAAACTATGGAAGAAATAGCCCTATGAGCACACATGAAATTATAATAACTGTAAGAGCAGATAGAGAGGGATCGAATGAAGCAGGTCGGAATGGACCGTGAGGCTCGGTTGTCGAAATATTGGCCAAAAAGCTGTAGAGGGAGGGGATGCATCCCAATAGATATGATTTCTAACAATAGTTTTTATGATCCCCCAAATATCATTCCCATAGCACCTAAAATGTGGCATGATAAAATATTATACAACGGTGTGTGCTCGCATCGGTGTCGTGAAAGTATGCGCGTGCATCCGTGACGGTGTGAGCGCGCATCGTAAAAAATTACCCTCATCCTTTTTTTTTCCCTAACTCCCAAAAAGAAGTTTAATTAATATAGTAAAGAAGTATTTTTTTGAGAATTTCGAAGGTGGGAAAATGATGTGTCCCAATCTGTATATTGTCACGGAGTTCGAAAGAAGTACACAGTTCAATTAAACAAACAATTAGATTTATTCTAACGCTGGGAGCTCGATACAATACTGGACTGAGAACATGCCCAACTGGCGATGAACTCTGCTTTTATACACTTCGGAATATTCGAGAAATACCCAGTATGCACTCTAAAGAATGATCTGGATTCATCTAGAACCTAGAGACACAATACATTAAAAACGAGAACAAAATTCCAGTCTTTGGATAAATCTGCCGGGGCAGGGGATTCGAACCCGAGACCTGAGGAAGTTCAGTCCAACGCTCTGCCAACTCGGCTATCGGGACTTGTAGCAAATTATGCGTGCGGCAATATTTCTAGACAAGCCATTTTCGTATCCGTTCCTACGGAACGCAAAGCAAAGGTTCGCTGACACGGGGGTACAGCTTAGTGGTAGAGCATTCATCTACAGATCGAGAGGTCACCGGTTTTAACCCGGGTGCCCCTTCTTCAGGGATTTGAAGGAAAATATTTTTTTGAGAATTTTGAAGGCGGAAATGATCTGTCCCATTCTGTATATTTCTAGACAAAGCATTTTCGTATCCGTTCCTACGGAACGCAAAGTAAAGGTACGCTGACGCGGCGGTTTAGCTCAGTGGTAGAGCATTCGACTACAGATCAAGAGGTCCCCAGTTCAGACCTGGGTGCCCCTTCTCAACGGAAATGAAGAGAAATGTGTTTTTCTGAGAATTTCGAAGGCGGGAATGATCTGTCGCATTCTGTATATTTCTAGACCATGAATGTTTGTATCCGTGACGGTGTGCACGCGCATCGTAAAAATTTACCCTCAACTTTCTTCCCAAACGCCCAATAAGAAGTATAACTTCAAAAAAAAATACTTCAGCCTTAATTTTCTTTCATGCGTTTTTCAATTATTCACAAAATTGGAGAGCTGTAAGTTTAAAAAAACACAGAGTTATGATACATTTTATATTCATCAATATTCACATTTAGGTAGCAAATAAAAATCATAATCCAGGGCTTCTCAAACTTTTAGTACTTGCGACCTAAAATTCAATCATAATTTTCATTGCGCCACCCTTCCATACAATTACAATGCATTGGATTCAATAATACTACACTTTGATGCGACTTTAAATTTTTGGCGTATATAAACGTCTTACTCAACAAAGCTGTAATTTTCCCGGACGTATGTATACATCTTTTCGAAGTATGATCTTTACTGTGTACTGCCATTCATAAAATTATTCCGAAGTCCTTAGAATGCAACAAAAATGCCTTGATAGTGTTTGCAAAGGATTTACTTACTTCAGAGAATTTGCTTATTTATTCCTTTTTTCTCCTTCCCCTCCAATACATCACATGCACACGCCTGCGGGGAAAACTGTAGCGTTGGGGAGTGATTCACTTATCTTTTAATCGGCAGTAATGATATTAATTATAAACCGTTCAAACTATCAAGAAAAGTGTTAATTTTTGTAAAAAAAAATTATTTATGACAAGCCCATGGGATCAATGGTAATTATTTTAATCTCATTCTTAACTTAGGTTTCCTAAATTTATTGTAAAATATAGTATGCAGTACTGATGCATTTATAAGTGTATTATATCAGTGTAAATGTGTATTTATTTCTTATTATGTCGGAATGCGTTTTGCTTGTTTACTTACAGTAAATTAATAATTTTTAAAATAATCTTTTATTTTTGACTTTTCAATATGAGATCGCGCCCCCCTCGGAGAGTTTTTATGTCCCCTAGGGGTGAGCCCCACAGTTTGAGAAACGCTGCCTTAATCCTTAAGCTACTTTATCTCATAACAAAATATTAACTTTTTTTCATTTAAAATGCTCAGGTATTCTTTTAATTGTGCCGTATGCTTTTATATTTTTTTCTGAATATCGCTATTAATGTATTTGACAAAATGTTCTCTTCATTTTTAAATCACCAATGTAAGTTACAAGCAAAAGAGAAAAACAAATATAAATGAAATCAGATATTTTTATTTTATTCGAACAACATCCCCGTGAGGCATACATAAATAACTATAACTTTTTCCTTTGGAAGCCTAAATATTGAATTTCTTATTATACAGATACAGAAGTATTGGGTCCATTTTGTAAATATGGGAGTAATAATTAAAGAACTTCCGATATCTTAAATACCCAATATTAATAAAATAATATTTTTAATTATGATTATATCATTCTACTATTCAAATTAAAGACAATACAAGAAACGAATTAATCCGAATAATAACTTTTTAAACAACTTTCGAGATCATCAAAAAACGTTACCTCTATCTAATGAACATAAAACAGTTTTTTTTCTTGTTAACAGTTTGACGTTTTGCAAATATTGAGTGAATAAGATTTTTCTTTCGGAATATTTCTCAAGTTAAAGTACTCCTTTGCAACCCGCCACATTTTAGCAAATCATAGCTTAGGTAGACAAGTGAATAAAGGAGTATCCGTGTACACCGAGTCCAGTAATAAAAATTTTATTGACGTAATCAAAGTGCTTCCACGGCATTTTATGACTCTTTCTTTCACCCGATAGCGTTGGAACACTAGATGTTTCAGATTGCAGTTTTGCTACTTGATTGAAACCAAAAATTGAAAGGCATCTATAGTAAAAAGAGAGATCTTTTTTCCCAACGGCTGCTCCAACCAGAGTTGAGCAAGAAATATTTTAGACTTAATTTCATCGAAGCATAAAAAGGACATTCCACTTGATTGAGTAATTTACCACTCTATTTCTCTGGCCTTACGATATCAATACAAGTGAAGATTCCTATAAGAGAATTTTTAAAGTTATTTGAAAAAAGAATACGCCTCACGTAATTTAATGAAAAATATTGTGGTGTTATTTTAATATGTTTTGTAATCTGGGTAAATTATTCAAAATTTACCACAGAAAGTTTGTTCAGTTAATGAATACATTCCATAACTATAACAAACTCTATAAAAATATTTGAAACCTATTTATGACATAGGGATACATTTTCTTCTTCTCTCACATAAATAGTGACAAAATGGGGTAATTTGGGCAAAACTGATTTATAATGGAAAGTGTCAGATAAATGATTACATACGAGTTATAATTGTAAGCACTTTGTTAATGCATTCCTTATATAGAACACTCAATTCTTCTTCTTTTTAACTGAACGCATACTATTAACAAAGTTGCTCAAAACACAAATGTCGCCTAAACTAGCCATAGTATAAGTATAATAAATTGCAATAAGAACTAGAAAATTAGCTTACTTCAAATGAAATATTAACATGAATTTGCAAAGTTCTCTTTGAGATTTTGATATTTCTAAAATCTCCAAATAATGACCTATCCAGTGATATAAACTATTTTCTATTTTTTGAATTAGAAGTATATCAAAATGAATCTTAAAAAAATCAGCTGGCTTGCCATGGACACTTTGACAGATAAAAAATAAACACAATCATTTTAAATCTAAGAAACACTTTCAAAGCCTCAACTAGTTTTATTTATTCATACGCAAATAATAGTAGAATAACTGCAAGTATAACTGCTCATCTGTTTTTGGAGGGAATTTTGAGTAGTTTCGTAGAATTTAACGAAGTGTTTGCTTATCGAACAATAATAACAAAAGTAAAATTTTGAATTTAAATGTTATGTTTCTTCTTTGAAGAAAAAATAATATGCATTGAGGAACTTTAACTTTACGTTTATTAAGTAGCCTATTAGTAAAATTTTCAAATGCAATACAAATGCAATACATCAAAATTGAAAAAAAAATACAACGCAAATGTAATGCATTAGTGCATCAAAAACAGGGAGTAGATTGAATAAGCTACTACTTACCTGTTGAATAATATGTAAATGTGTCATGAAATGCCTCGATATGGTTAGTCAAATGAAAACAATGTCAGTATTTTTTTCACAATCAAAAAAAAGTATTAAAAGTGGGAAGGAGACAATATTTAAAAAAACAGGTAACATAAGGGCAGGATATTTGATGAGGTAATGTTGTATTCAAAGATTACTGTTTGCTGAAAACTATATTTTTAAAATTGGGTTAAAAAAATGAAATTTTTCTAAATATACTGTACGTGAAAATACTGCAAGTTTGCATTATATATCCGTTATGTATACTTGTGGATACTGAATTGATATTTTGGAAATATTACAAAATCCTTTTGCTAAAGGGCACATGTCATGACAAAAAGTGAAAACTTTGTATAAATTCGGTGATGATGAGTAAAAGTTTGTTTTTGAAAAAAACTGAACAAAATATGTTTGAAAAATATCACTTAAGTATAATTATAAATGTTTCTTTATTGTACAGAAACGTTTTTAAGCTTAAATATTCAAAAATTTCTGAATGCAAGGTTTCTACAGATTATTCAGATGTGCAATGATATTTCCATGCAAGAAGCTTGTACATACATAAAAATACATCAATATCATATTTAAAAACATAAAAAACCTTTTATTTTGGCTGTTTTAGAAATACCTTGTCCAACTTAGATAAACATTATAAATTTAAAAGACTTAGATAAAACTTATTTAATGGAAAATTATTAATTAATTATCTTTTCAATTACAACAATTCCCTAATAATTCTTTTATTTAATGCACTTCCATTAACTTTAAATAATCAATTCAGTTCTCGGAAGATAGTATTTTTTATTAAAACATAATTTTTTCAGTTCATTCCACCATGTCCAAAATTATCTGTTGTACCCAAAATAACCATACATAAAAATGTCTATTTAACGCAATCTGTTTTTGAACGGAATATGTGAAACAAACCCTCTTAGCATTATATTTGTGTATGAGAGGTTTTGAGCAAATGTAAGATTTGAGTGAATTAATAACACACAGAAAGTTGGATTTCAATGCTTAAAAACTCAAAAGATTTACTGTGATCCGAAATGTTGATGGGTTGAATAGAGAGAGAGATAACGGGGTACCAGCTTCCCGCAGTGAAGTTCAAATTCATATCCTGGTAAAATGAGAATTGCTTGGGCTCGGCTTTAACTTAGCCATTTGCTGCATTTAAAGATCTTAAGGAATGAAATTTAAATTTAACTTGAATTTAGAAAAATATTAAATATCAAGTAAAATACATTTGGTGATTAAAATGGTGTGAAAAATGAGTGAATAATTTTATTTCAAAAAGTGGTGAAGGAATATGTGGTGAATAATCAATCATTTAAAAGCAGGGAAAGCAAGGAGATATATATGAATATCGCAAGACAGCCAAAGAATGAAAGAAACTTCAGAACATTGTGAATGTAGTAAACAGCTAAACAATGTATTATATCCCTTATTCATCGATGGCGATATATGCCGATTATTTCCCACTGTAATAGAAATTTTGCCACTTGATAGTTTTGTCGAGAACATGAACCCGTTACCGAAATTATTGTATCATAGCAGTCTTATTGAAAATGAAAAAGAAAAGAAAAAGGTCTTGATGTGCCAGATAAACCCCCAGAATATGTGTTT